CCACAGCTTTATACCTATAGATAATTTGAAAATGTCATGCAGCCAAGCATAACCCAAACATTGCTGAATGACATCCCTGAGTTGAAAAGACTTGAGCACTCATGGAAGCTGAGGGGACTGAGTTTATGGAGCAGAATATCAGATAAATATGAGTAATACACTTTTTATTTTTAATTTATTTGAAAGATAACTGATGTTTAAGGCAAAAACAACAGTATAGCGATGATTTGTATACTGCCATTTGTTACATAGAAATAAAAGACACAACAATAGCAAAATAAAGATGAGAGGAAAAGGAGTGACATTATACTGCTCTAGGATCCTTATAGTCAAATCCTAGAGCAACTGCCACCAAAGAAATGATGTGTACCTAATAATCCAAGAGTGTACATAAAATACTAAAATGTCTTAGCTTATCAAAAGAAAGCAGGCAATTAGGAAGACAGTAACAAAGTAAGACCGCAAATAAGTAGCAAGATAGTAATTCTAAACAAACACACCAGGAATTACATTAATGATAACATTTTGAGCATGCAATTAAAAAGGCAAAGATTGTTCGATTGAATTAAAAAACAAAACCAACCCAATAAACAAACCCTAGACTAGCTGGGTGAAGTGGGTCATGCCCGGGAGGTCAAGATGTGTGAATCACATGAGGCCAGGAGTTCCAGAGCAGCCTGGCCAACATGGAGAAACCCAGCATCTGCAAAGATACAAAAGTTAGCCGGGTGTGTTGGCAGGTGCCTATAGTCCCAGCTACTCAGGAGACTGAGGCAGGAGAATTTCTTCAACCTTGGAGGCAGAGGTTGCAGTGAGCAGAGATCACCTAACAATATGCAATTTAATAGAAGTGCACATTAAATAAGGGGAAACAATTTAAAATAAAAGAATGAAAAATGACAAACAATGCAGACACTTACAATAAGGTGATGTAGCTATACTAATATCAGAGAAAGTAAATTTTAGGACAGGGAATCTCACTAGAAATAAAGATGGTCATCTCATAATAATAAAGGGTAAATTTAAAAAGAAGATAGAACAATCTTAGAACATACTCACGTGAAACAAAGCAGCCAAAACATGAAACACAAACTTATAGGTGGAAGGGAGAGATACACAAATCCATAATTATAATAGATTTCCAGACTCTGTTTTTATTAATTAAAAGGGCAAATAAAAAAAAAATACAGACCTGTTAATACCAACAAATAATTTGACCTGACATAGAACCTTCCACTGAAAAAACAGAGAAATGCAAATACTTTTCAAGTGCACAAGAAGCATTCACTAAGATCAAATGCTGGGCCAGAAAATAAGTCTCCATATTTAAAAGACTAAATTTACACAGAGAAAAATTACTCTGGAGCTGTGGCCTGAGAGGAACCAAAGTAGAAATCAAAAAACAAAAAGATATCTGGAAAAATCCCTAAACATTTGGAAACTAAATAATACACTTCTAAATAACCTCTATGAAGAAAACAGAAATCGTTGAAGAAAATAGAAGATTGTTTATATTCCATGATAAATCGAAACATAACAAATCAGTTTGTAAGATTCAGCTGTAGAAATGTTGAGGAAAATTTAGAACTTTAAAATACCCAGAAAATAAGAAAGGTCTGGAATCATTGATTTACGGTTTGATCTTAAGAGATAAATAAAAGTACATATAAGAAAAAATAGCAGAAATCAATTAGAAAACTAACAAACCCAAAAGTTTGCATCTTGAAAAGATTAATAAAATTGATACATCTTTGTCAAGACTGATTTAAATAGGAAAAAGAGAGGTATAGAAAGGAAGGAGAGAGGAGAGGAAAAAAATGGAAGAGAGACAGTACACATACGTTTCCAGTATTTAAGAATACAAGAGGTGACATTACTCTATATCCTACAAACATTCAATGATAACAAGAGAATATTGTAAACAACCACATGCTAACAAATTCAATAATGTAGAAGGATTAGAGAAAGTCATTGCTGGTCAAAAAACAAAATATCCATTTACCACAACCAACACATGAAGAAATACAAATTCTTTTTTTCTTTTCTTTCTTTCTTTTTTTTTTTTTTTTTTTTTGTTCCAGCTGGAATGCAGTGGTGTGATCTTGGCTCACTGCACCTTCCCCTCCCAGGTGGGTTCAAGCAATTCTTGTGCCTCAGCATTCCAAGTATCTGGGATTATAGGGGCCTGTCACCACACTTGGCTAAGCTTTGTATTTTTAGTAGAGGCAAAGTTTCACCATGTTGGCCAGGCTGGTCTCGAACTCCTGACCTTAAGTAATCCACCCACCTCAGCCTCTGAAATATGAATTCTGAATAGGCTTGAATTCATATATATTTTTAAAAATTCACAAAGAAAAACATAGATATCACCATTGAATTCTAGAAAATATTTACGGAAGAGATAATGTTAGTCCTAAAAAACTTCTACAGAAATTAGAGGAGGAAGGAATGCTTCCCAAACTACTTTGTAAAACCAGCCACCTGATTTCAAAACTGGAAAAAGAAAACTACAGCTTAATATTCTTAATGAACATAGATGCAAAATTCTTTACCAAATATTATTGGCAACATCTATAAAATGGATAATATATCATGACCAGTTGTGGTTTATCCCAAGAATACAAGGTTGATTTACCTTTTAAAATTATTCAATAAATTTCATCACATTAATACAAACAAGAAGAGAGAAAACATGATTATCTGAAAACACTTAAGAAACCTTTCACAACTACTAAAATGAGTAGGAGAGCTGGTAAGGTCACAAAGCCCAAAAGCCATATAGAAATTAAATTTATGTGAAATATAAAACAATTGGAAAAATAAATTTAAAAACCTCATTTATAATAGTGTAAAATATGTCAAATAGGTCGTGGCAAGGGCTCATGCTTATAATCCCAGCACTTTGGGAGGCCGAGGCAGGCAGACTGCTTGAGGTCAGGAGTTTAAGACCAGCCTGGCCAACATAGCGAAAGCCTGTCTCCAATGAAAACACAAAAAATTAGCCTGGCTTTTTGGTGCACGCCTATAGTCCCAGCTACTCAGGAGTCTGAAGTGGGTGGATCACTTGAACCTAGGAGGTGAAGGCTGCAGTGGGTAGAGATCACGCCACTGCACTCCAGCACTCTAGCCTGGCCAAGAGAGCGAAACTTTGTCTGAAAATAAAAACAAAACAAAATACACACACAGAAAATCAAATGCTCAACAAATATGTTGACACACTAAAATCCATATAAGATTGGAAAAAAGTAAAGAAAACTTAAATAATGAAAACATATATCACATTCCTGGAAAGAGAGCTGTTAGTAAAATATTTACCCATTTTGATGGATTGATTCACTGCATTTGCACTTATCATTCAACATATTTTTAGAGGTATCAACAAGCCGATTTGAAAAGTATATGGAAAAGCAGAAGGCCTATAATAACCAAAATAATTTTGCAGAAAAAAATAATGGAGGATTCACGTTACCTGGTTTCAAGGCTTATAGGAACTATAGTAACCAAGACAGTGTGGTTTGGCATATGCATAGACATATAAACAAATGGAATCCCGTAGGGAATCCAGGAGGGCAGGCATGTATATATGATTAACTGATGGAAAGGAAAATCTTTTTAATACATGATGAGTACACAATTTGATATACATATGGAAATAAATATGCCTGATTTCTTGAACCACATGCAATTACCCTCAGATGAATTATAGAACTCAGCATAAAAGCTAAAATTATAAAGCTTCTAGAAGAAAATATATATAAAAAAAAACCCTAAGTATCTAGAGCTAAGCCACAATGTAATACTTTTGTTCATCAAATGACATTATTACCAAAATGAATAGGGAAGTTATGGACTGGGAGAAAATATTGGTAATACATATATACATAGTAAAGAACTTGTATCCAGAATGTATAAGTAACTCCTACTAATCAGTAACAAGAGACAATTCAGTTTTTTTTAAAGGCAAATATGTGGTCAATTCACAAAAGAAAATATGTGAATGGCCAATAAGCACATGCAAAGTTGCCCAACATCATTAGTCCTAAAAGAAAATTCAAGTTAAAATCACAGGTTACCCCAACAAGAATGGCTAAAATCACAAAAACTGGAAACAACAAATGCTTGTGAAAATGTAGAGAAACTGGAAATCATTTTCCTTGCTGGTGGCAGTATGAAATTATACAGTAATTTGAATATTGTTTAGCAGTTTCTTATAAAGTCAAACTATGCAACCATTTTACCCAGAAATTAGACTTCTAGGTGTTACTCCAAAAGGACACAAAGATTTACACAATAATATTCATTCTCTCAGGAGAAAAGCCAATAAACAAAATATGGCATATTCATACAATTGAATACTGCTCAGCAATAAAACATATGAACTGAATAATACATACATGGATGAATCTCAAAAACATTATCCTTAGTGAAAGAAACCACATACAAAATATCACATTCTGTATGATTCCATTTATATACATCTCAAGAACAGACAAACATAATCTATGATAATAGGAAAAAAATTTATGCAATCATGATACTAGATTTAATATGATTTCTTCTTTGGGATAGGATATTTAGATTACAAAGTTTCTTCTGGCCTGTTTCTTGTTGATTTTTGACATTTCTCTGGCTAAGAGGAAGCATATAGATTTGAAACATAATGGTCTCTCTTCAATAACTATCTAATTTTTATTATATTTCAATGGCACCAAAGTTGGTAATGAGGCAATTGATTAAAAATAATTTTTAAACTACCTTTTAGCATTTAAACTCTTAAATATTGTAATTTTAAAAAGGCTCTGGGACTTTTTTTTAAAAGCGTGATCAATTGCACCAAGCATTTTTGTAAGACATCCTCTTCAGTTAACCCATTTGCCTATATGATATGTATATCCTATCATTCATAAGTGTATATTCACTATTAGTATGTTGATGCAAAAGCACATCCACCTTGTTAGTTGAGTGATTCTAAAGCGCTGATCACATAGTTTGATACTCACCGATTATTATTGGCTGGGGCTCACTTTTTACTCCAACCCCTGCACTGGTACTAGCTGCAACCTCTACCCGGTATTGAATACCTGGGAATAATCCACCAATTATTACAGACCGAATGGCTGCATCCACAGTTTTGTTGATATGGAATCTCGTTTCATTTCCTAGACACCAGATCTATAGAAATGGAAAGTGAATAATACATGCAGATAATATTATCATTTCTAGTAACAAGACTAATATAACCGATGAAATATTTTTCAATTGTAACCTGTCTTCTAGGCTTATAGAAGTTTTGTAAATGACATCTTCTAAATCCCAACCTCTGCCATTTATTTATATGTGTGTATGTAAGTGCATTTGTGCATGCATGCACCTGTATTAAAAGAAGAACAATAAGGGAAGCTGAAACTATGCCATGTTCATTTGTATCTTATTCTCAGCACTGAAGGCTCATAAGGAGTAATTTAGAAAGCACAGTGATTTCTTTAACACCTCTGGTATGTGGTCTTTTGTTGCAAATGGCATTTTTGTATGGATTAAAACACATAATTTCCTCTGCTTTATCAAAATTTATTATGCATATAATCCACTAAAATATGGTGATTACAAGTTGTAATATCTAAAGTATATAGGTAGACATCTAAGCAATTTACATTTCATTTAAGAAAATATTAACTTACACAGAAGTGGTTAACAAGATTAATTGACCTAGGTTATAGGTATTGACTAAAATGAAATTAAAGCCAATATTTACATTGACAGCAATAAATCTAATATTGATCAACACATATCTACACACACATACACATTCATGAGAACAATGCTGTGTCAAGGCTTTAGACATTGATGCTAAGGAAGTTAGGCTTTTATTTCAAGTAGGAATCAAATTTTAGGGCATCTTCTAGGATGTGGAAATTGTTACTATAAAATATGTTATGAAAAGAAATTCATTGTATATCCATATTTGTTTTCATATTATATACTATTTTAAAATCTACATGTAGACACATATGTAGGAAAACATATGATTTGTTTCAGAGCAGGTAAGCTCCCAAATCATTTTCAGTAAAATAATTCTTGTGAATCATGTGTTTTTTTATTTATATATGACATCAGTGTTCTTAATGAAAGAATATTTAGCCCTTACCTAAATATGCACTTTGAAAACAAAATATAACAAGTCTCTAGAGAGTGAGAACATTTACAACTCACAGAAAAAAATTTATCATGTTGTAAAAAAAGGAACAATATTTAACTACATGGAAATTTAGGATATTTAGTCCCAAATGGTACAAAAATAAATTCCTAACCTCATTAAAACACACCCACACACACACTCAAACTCACACAGAGTTGATAATTCGTTACTCTGTTAAAACAGTGTCCTAATGCTTATAAAATCTTAGGATCTATATAACTACTGTATTGTAAAAGCATTTATTCTTATGTTTCTTAACCATTCATCTTTATAACATGATAGAAATCATTTAAAAATAAATCCCTATACATTTATTTCATTAATTTGCTTTAGCAAGTTGATCTTTAATAAAATTCTATGTAGAAATTAATTTCTGCTTAGAAATAAAATTTAATCTTCAAACTTTTGAGTAAAATTATTCAGCTTAATATTAAATAATAGCTATGATTTTTTTAGGTGAAATGAATGACTAGCTTTGTATTGTATTAAATGCATAGAAGATGCTATTTTCAGGAATCTAGAAATATTTATTAATAGATAATCCTAATAGATCACCTATTAATAAATTATAGTTTTGAATTTTACAAAGATTAATGAAGAGTTTTTCATTCAAATGTGTTCTAAACACAACACAAACAGAATCTTATTTTGAAAACTCAGACATACTCTCTGCCTTAAACATCAAATGATAGCAATGAAACAACAGACATATACTGTTTCTAAACAGCCAAAAATTCATCAGTTGAAAATGAGACAATCAACTGTTTTTTTTGTAAGTCAGTATTTGCAAAATGTGTTTCAGTGGCTTTTCTTCAAGTGAAATATTCTATACAACTTCAATAAATACACAAAAGTAGCATCTAGAGTGAGAGTTGATGCTGCCTGCAACCCACTCCACCTCTTTAACCCCTGAAGCATCTTTTTTTCTGAGCATGGTTTAAAAACAGCTCATGGTTTTTAAACAGAACATGGTTTAAAAAAGCCTCTTCTGCAGAATTCTAATAACAAAGATAAAACTCATTTTCTGGTCTTCACTAACAACCCTGTGTCCCATCTTTTTAAATTCTTGAGCTTCTAGAATCACACTATACAGAACACCATTTCACTAGTGTGGCTTAATCATTTAACTGGGTTTGTGTGATCTGTGACCTTGAACTCACGTTCTAATACCTATGCGTTTGTCTCATTCTCTGTCGCACAGAAATATAAATAACAACTTTACACTTAAACTGAATAAGAGACCCTTTAGAGATGTGCCTCATTCATGAGACACTGACATTTCCCTGGAAAACTTTATATGAGAGCTGTTCTTCTGTACCCTGGTCCTACCTTGTATTCTTGGATAATCCCATTCTGATGATCTGGAGGAGGAGGATCCCAGGAAACACTAATACTTGTGCTATTGTAGCTTCCAACCGTCAGTACAGTGACAGACTGTGGAGGGGCACTTGGGGCTGTAGAAGAAGTGATTAGAATAAATGTAAACTGTAAGCCTTGCTGTGCATGAGTGCTACCTCCAGAATATGAATATAAAGACAAGATGCAGGAGGCTCTGGCTTCCAAGAGTTCTGAATCCACACAGTGTTCCATAGCGACAGTTTTTTTGAGAGATATTCTTTAAATACAATATGTAGATTTAAAGTAAATGCAACAGCTTTTATAATATGCTCTCAATAACAGATTTAACAGCTAACATTCTAATAAGTGTTTTCTACCCGCCCAGCACTGAGCTAAGTGTCAGGTTTAATTCCCGCATTAACTTCAAGAGGTAGAAACAACTGTTATCTCAGTTTTACAGATGAGGAAACATGAGGTCACCGTAAGGGACTTAGGATAGTCAAACAGCAAGTCAGAACTTGAACCGGTGTATGTCAGATTTTAGAACCCTGATTATTTCAACTTTAATAAGCTTTCTAAAAACAACCACAACTTCTTCTAACCAAAATTATTCTGAGAGCACATATTCCACTATTTACCATGTGTTATTTCTGAATGGTGGCATTAATGACAGTTTTTTTGGTATGCTTTTAGTTTGTGCTTACTAAATAAAAATAGAATCCCAGCTATAAATGTCACAACACAGGAAAACCTTCTCTTTCTTCTACTGGGAAAAATAATTGACTGCTATAAATTGACCCATAAGTTAAGATTTAAAACTTATTTTAATGGACGGGCAAGGGACTCTGATGATAAAAATGAAAATAGTTCATGCTGGGTCAAATGTGAAATGGGAAGATTTTGATTTCTACAATAATTCTCTGCCTTTATAGTTTCTCCTATAACTAATTACACCCATACTGAGAAAAGGCAAGGGAGAAGCTCTTCCTGATTTTAGACTGCCGCATCTCTCATTTAGTGTGTCTGAGAACGAAGAAATAACAACTTTGTGGAAAAATTCATCTATTCTCAGTGAGTCTCTGAATTAAAACCACAGGTCGGAGTAGTTAAAATGATAGTATTATATAACATACCTCTTGAGCGTTTAAAATATCAAAGAATTTTGTGTTACTGATGGCTTTTTATATAAAATCATCAATGTTTGCATAGCTCTACACAGTTCAGCTTTCTGAAAATATTCTAAAACATCTTTTAAGAGCCTTACAACAGATATCCTATGTTTTGTAAATATGTCATGATATATTTCATATAGGTATAGCCATATTTGCATTGAGATATAGGACACGCACAGACACATGTTAACACAATACTGCTGTTTCTTATTCCTCCATGTGACAATATTGCTCCAAAGTATGGCACTATGACATAAATCCAACCACTTGTCTACGAGCCTTGTAGTTATTAAGTAGACTGCATTGAAAAATAAGACTTTCAGAACTGGTTTCTCATTCGCCTTGCTGCTGTCTTGGCGAGAACACCGTGCCTGCTTCCTGACAGGTCAATTATTCCAGGACCCAGCTTCTTTCTACAGATGTGAAAGAACCCAAATCGTCACTCATCGTAGCCAGACATAGCCCAGCTGAATTCCATTTGTTACCGTCACATAGCCACCGAAATTGGAGATGAATGTATACCCAACGGTGACAAATGTCTAATCCAGAGGAAAAGTCTAACTGCAGTGAAATTGATTTTGGAAGTAGGCTTCAAACAGAGCATTCTGTGTTAAGGTTACCCGCACCACTCATTAATACTACCAATTTGCAATATAGAGTTAATAATGGATAAAGATACGATGATTTTTACTTTTAAACATGTTAGCAAGGAGAAAAGATACTATCATAATTATTGGTAATTTTTTAACATATCCTAAAAGTTGATTAATGATGTCTTTTTAAATATGTGTTTTTGCCCCTGCCCATGTATCACCCTGCAAAACAATGGGAAAATGACATTTTTCTCACGTTGTGTAAGAAATGTATAATTTCAGGGCTCTTTGGTCAAGTATATAGATGTTAACATGGGCAACCTATATACATTTTCTTAAGGCTTCTCTTATTTGGTATGAAATACGTTTAGAGAAAAGGCTTTTTACAAGAGTTGTGAATACAAAGGCAGTACAAAAGCAGAATGGAGGGGTTTTTTCATTTGGAATTTCCTTTTTGTTTTTTTTTTAAACTTTGATAACAACGTATTATATCCTATCACAGAAGAGCATAAACCTCTCTGTCTTCCCACAAAAATTTTTTTTTTTTTTTTTTTTTTTTTTTTTGAAAGAGACACTACTAAATGAACTGGTGGAAACCTACATTAATCGCGTGTCCATCACAGACTGACTCTAACCTACCTTTAGGTAAGAAAAGATCTGGTTGGGCACGGTGGCTTATGCCTGTAATCCTAGCACTTTGGGAGGTAAGGCAGGTGGATTGCCTGAGTTCAGGAGTTTGAGATCAGCCTGGGCAACACAGCAAAACCTTGTCTCTACTAAAATACAAAAAGTTAGCCAGGTGTGGTGGTGTGTGCCTGTAGTCCCAGCTACTTGGGAGGCTGAGGCAGAAGAACTACTTGAACCCGGGAGGCGGAGGTTGCAGTGAGCTGAGATCAGCCACTGCACTCCAGCCTGGGAGACAGAGTGAAACAAAAAAAAAAAAAAAAAAGGAAAAGAAAAAAGAAAAGATCCAAAATGGGGAAAAAGAGGGAATTTCACTAAGAAGAAAGCTACTGCAAATATGCAAGTGACCTTCCTGATTAGAAATTATGGGTTTGACTGGCAGTGCCTACAGAAGAAAGAGGCTAATAAAAGAAAATGTCACACTTAACTATAACAAAAACAGAGTAGTGGCAATGAACAGCCTGTGTTCTTGAATTTCCAGTAGTCTGTCTTTTCATGATCCAAATGAGTTGAATCTACACAAAATATAGGGGAATATTTGATAATCCAATTCAAGTGAACTGAAAAACATTTGGTGCAAATGGTTACATAAGAAAAATTCAAAATTAATTACATCAGTGTCCCTTTTTTTCTGCTTGTCAGGTTCTACAGAATTATCAGAATAAGATGAGAAAATGACACTTCCTGGATTTACTTTTAGATGATACCATTCTGTTCCTCTAAGGAAGATAATACATAGGTACTGTAACAGAAATTGGTTTCATCATGATATGAGTTTGATTTATATTCAAAATCTGAATACTGACCTTCTTCAGTAGTACGAACCATTTTAGATTCACTATCCATTCCTTGGAACTCATTAAAATATGGCCGAACTTTAATTTCATAAGTCACCCCCTTTTTCAGGTTGACTAAGACAGCACTTCGTTCAGTCGGGACTTTGGCATCTAAATTCTGCCATGAAGATGTAGCCTGCAGACCTGAAGTCTGACGATACATCACTCGATAGCCTTGGATAAACTGTGGTTGGCGATCAACCTGAAAAACATTGTAAAGGGCGTTTGAAACTAAAGGAAAGTATTTTAAATATCACAACGGATTGATCCCCTTTTCATCTGTTCCGATTTTTGTCCTCATAACTATCACCTGAGTGATGTCCTGACTTTCTAGCTAATCTCTCAGCTTCTAATAACTCCTATCCTTTTAGAGTTTAGATTGCTCCCAAGATTATTTCCAAAATGAAGAGTAGAAGAACTCTCTCCCCCATTTAAAATATCTCACAGTATCTAAGATACCTATCTAATTAATTAAGTTTCCTTGGATTAGCACAAGGGCCTCTCAAAGGCCAGACCTGCCAATATCTCTAGCTTTATGTATCCTCTGCTTACCCTTTTTATGCATTCAACAATTCCCTTTTATATGGCTATATATGTAATATGCCCCTTGTCAGGGATTTCCATTCTCATCCTTTGTCTATTCACTAATATCATCAACCACTCAAAACACATGTTTTGGGTTCCTACTCATAGGTGCCAGAAATTCTGCTGAGCTCTGGGGATAAAATGGACCATGAAAATAGAGTCAGTCCCTGCCATCACGAGCTGAGGTAAGAAGGTGGAGTCCAGGTGGAGGGTCAGAGTTGTCTAATAATGACTGAACTATGGTCAAGTTACAATCATAATAAAAAGCATAGACAAATGTTCAGAATGAGAAGCACCAGGAGGTAAGAAAGCCTATAGTGAAGAGAAAGGTGACTGAGTCCGGAACGGGGGACAAAGCTTCCCTGAATAATTCTTAAGTGCTTAGATAGCAAGAAGAGCAGGATTTACCCAGGAAAACAAATGTGAGGACATCATGTATAAAATCTCTGTGGCTGCAAAAAGCATACAGCAGACATTAAAGCTGTAGAGCTAGAGCATTTGTATTAAAAGCATGTGAATGCTTATACTCATTACCAAATATAAATGAAAAACTTGTAATTTACCAAATTCTGACTTCTTTAATTTCCCACTCTTGACACAATTTGGCAACTTTTTTGATAACTTCATTTATTTAAGGCACAGTAAGAAGCTATTTTAAATAATAACCTAAGACAAAACTCATATCAAATAGAACTTTTAAAAAGTGTTTTTGTCTGCCATTGGCAATCACCTAAAAATCAAATAAATATAAATGCAAGATTAAGTAATGAAATATATTCTTCTCTTTATACATCTATTTTAAAGTCCTTACCAGAGTTTTATGGCTGTTTCATTAACAGGGAGAAAACAACTATAGCTTTTTAAAGTTATTTTTAAAAATTAAGCATCTTTTAATGCTTTGTCATGTTTTTAGAAACGCTTGATTTAAACAGAAACTATGACAGCACGTTCCGACTAATATCCCTTATCATAGCTTAATAGCCATAGTCTAAGAAGGTTTAAATTTGACATACTTCATTGTCAAAGTGTAAAGGTTAATGGAAAAGTAATGGAATAACCTCATTTCAGGAAGTTTGTAGAGAAAGAGGAAATAAAAAAGAGGATAGTGAGATGGTTATTAATTTCAGCTTTACACAAATTTCTTTATCCAAGAAATTTGAAATTTATTCAGCATTTGAAATTTGTTTCAACATTTGTGGAAATGTTGAAATTTGTCACCAGGTTATAAACAAAACATGTTGTTTCATGTATTAACTGCTAGCATCTCTTTTTTAGTTGCAGTCTTATTTTATTTATTTCTAAGTGAGGGCAGCAAATAAATATTAGCTAAAAATACTGGCTTTAAAAAGTTAAAAATGCAGACCCTCCATATGAATGCAGTGGAACAAAAGGAAATACTTAGAATGTTCAAATGTGAAAACTCCCTGAATTGAGTCTGAGTGTGTGTGTGTGTGTGTGTGTGTGTGTGTGTGTGCGTGTGTGTGTGTGTTTCTATGTTCTATGTATGGGTAAGTCCAGTTTCCCAGATAAGTCTCAACAAGTATGAATTTTATCTGCCACCTGACAGCTCTCTCACCTTCAAAGACTGTGGAGTTAGTGCTACACTTGTATGAGGTTATATCAAGAAAAATTGAGCCCAGGTCTAACATGGAAGCTGATAATCTGCAAGTCCTCATTCATGCTACCAGTTTATGTTTTTACCAATGGACACATTTTTTTAAGCAAGATTTATTCTGACACAATAAAATAAGGCAACCAAGACGCAAAATTTAAATTTATGAGAGCCAAACAGAGATGACTTTCATCAAAACTGTCAATGTTCAAAAAAAAAAACCCTTGCAGTATATGTTAAAACAACATTAAGCTTGCATTTTATAAACTTCTCTGCATTGGCTTTAAGTGAATTTATATACTGAAAGAAAGACATAACTCACAATAATAGCTTGTTAATACTGAAAGAAGCAAGCTGTGTTTTTAAGAAGAACATTAAGCAGCTGTTTCCAGATGAAGGGTGTCTGTAAATCAGGGTAAATTGGTTTTACCCATGTTTGGTTTTCATTAATTAAGTGTTTTAGGGATTTTATGAAGCTAATGTTTACTATAAAACATTGTTTTGCACACTTCAGTGTATACTATCTTCAGCTAGTATATAGTATGGGGCTTCTTAATAGTTAAATAGTTTAACTTGATTGTGTGCAGTGGGAATGCATTTTTTTTTTTTTCAGGAGGAAATTTGTTGTTACAGGTGGAAGCAGAAATGAAAATGTTGAACATTTACTTTAAAAAAAAATAGGTGAGATTTTTACTGGATGTGTGTTCTACCCCACTAACTGTTGGAGCTCATTTTGACAGGTGGTCATTTTCAAGTTAGGCCATATGTTGTTACGGGTTTTATTAACATTCTGATTACAAGAAGGAGGATTTTCTTTTAGAGTTGATTACAATCAGAGTCTGACCACAGATTCATGGGTTTATATAACTAAAAAAAATAGTGTTTTCTGAAACTTGAATTAAAAAAAAGAGTTGTCTTAAGGAAAAAGTAAAATGAGGATGAAAGCTTCAGCCATAGGTCTCAATTTCAATTAGAGTTCAACCTCTTAAGCTTTCTGAGTCTCAGTTTATTAATTTGACCACATAATACTCATATCTCAAGGGCACAGAAACAATCAAAGGAATGATACAACTGAAAGCATTTTGCAACCTTTAGAGATACACAATGATAAAATATAATTGTTAAGGAAGCAACAGGCCACAAAAAAAGAGGGCTTGTCTGTGGCCCTCAAATCAACATTTTAATTAACCTGTTTAAGTGTGATGCTTCGTATTTACCGCTTCCATTTACGACACAAAATAACACAACATCTCCATATAAAGTGAAAATTCAAAGTGAATTTTCTTTGATGGGTTTAGCTGCTAAGGGTCTGATCTGGTTTTAGCAGATTTCTGAAATTCTAGTTTGTTGGAGCACTCTTTTCCACCTCTGTGTAATAATGCTTAATGGGCAAAGAGTATGTAATTATTTTTGTCCTTGAACCATAAAAAGTCAAAAAATAAAATGAGAATAATCATTTTTCAGTAAGTGACTTATTGCTATTTTTTTTTATGGAACAGCAGGTTTCTTATCATTTATGCCCACCCTCATTCTAAAAGCAGTCATTTTTAGAAAGTAGCTGTTGCTAACTATTGCTACTTCAAGTTTAGCCTGGTGAAGAGGTTGGCAGTAAATGGTCTCCCTGGTAGTTATGTCTTGTTCCTTTGGTAATTAATCCTCCCAGTCACTGGGAAACTTCCCCAGCTGGCCCCAACCCTAATCATGTGGTGGGGAGTTATTTCTCCCCTCAACCCCAACACTTCTGTAAAGCAAATGCTAAAATTTTGATAATTTAAATAACACATGCATTTAATAAACTGAAATATTACATCTATAAAAGAGTTATGCAAATTATTTGGCCACTAAGCATAACCCAGTCTGACTTTATTTCACTTAATTTATCTCTTTCAAATGCATACTTATATCCCTATTACAAAGTAATAGGGAACACTATGTCATGATATTAACTGAATTCTTTCTTTTACTAAAAAAATTTAAAATGTATGAAAACAACTAATTTGATCAATTCAACAGTTATTGAAATAATACTTCATAATAGACACTTTGTTCTGAAAAACACAGAAATGAAAGACATTGACTATAGCCTTGCAGAAGTTACAGCCCATGAGGGGGACAGATATGAAAACTAGTAATGATAGTTTCTCGGATGATTGTGCGCAGTGCAACACATTTTGTTTTCAGGAGGAAACGTTGTTAGGGGGAAGCAGAAATGAAAATGTTGAACATAGAGATGACTATGACAACGTTCCTCTCCTGGAAGAACTACCAGTCTACTGTCATGCAATTTTGATCTAATGCTATTTACTCTTTAAACTCAGTGACTTTTAAAGTGATTAACTTCATAAACATAATAACTTTGATTCTTACCCAAACAATTTCCACATTTAGAAGCAGCTTAAAAGAATCCCCTTTGTAACTTACAATAGAATTGAGAACTTTTTCAATTCAGAATGAGAAAAATATGCTATGAAAAGTACAAAATTCCCTTGATTTTGTTAGTTTTGTGTCTACTCAAGGGTACTGAAAGGTAGAAAATGCATGGCAGATAATGCCCCTTACTATGCCACTGGAAAAATGATTAGGTAATTGTGTTCCCTTCATGAGAACAGAAGAATAGAAACGAATATGTGCAGAAAATAGAATAGATCTATGCAAAATTATATAAAAAATGAAATAAGAAAGAGTAATCCTAATCATAATTACTCTTAAAACATTATAAGCTTAGTCTTATATTTTAATAAAATATTACCCAATTTTCTACTCATAAACCAAGAATTTGATCATGTAGTTTGCTTTAAGGAGTAATAATATGGACCAACAACAAAAGGCTGAATAGCTAAGGCAATCCTAGGCAAAAAGAAGAAAGAAGGAGCCATAATGCTACTCAACTTCAAACTACACAACAGGGCTACAGTAACCAAAACAGCATGGTACTGGTACAAAAACATGCACGTAGACCAATGGGACAGAATAGAGGCCTCAGAAATAGTGTCGCACACCCACAACCATCTGATCTCCCATAAAGTTGACAGAAATAAGCAATGGGGAAAGGACACCCTATTCAATAAATGGCACTGAGATAACAAGCTAACCAGATGAAGAACACTGAAACTTGATCCCTTTCATACACCATATACAAAAATTAACTAAAGATGGATTAAAGACATACATAGAAAGCCACGAATATTTATCTATAGTTTATTTTTAAAGTGCAAAACTACAACAAAAAAGGCAGATTTAAGGTCAGATGATTAAAATTTTAAATCCTTTCTTTACCTATAAACAGACCTGTGATATTGGGAACATTGTTTAACCTCTGCATTGGTTTCTTTTTATGAAAGTACAGAATTACAGTAAACAAGTTTAAATGTTACTTTAGCTTCTTTTATTCTAAGACAATGCCTCTATATTTTCCCATATAGGTACATATGAGTGATTATGTCTTTTTGGTGCCTGAGGACAGAGTTAATAACTTAACTTTTGGTTGTAATTTCTGTCGATTATGTGCATATATATTTGTTATGGAACTTATCCCTGTGTACTGTCATTAAGAATTTCCATGTCTCTCTCAACTAGATTTGCATCCCTTCATACAGTACTCACTCACATCTGTAGAACACAGTAGGTCTCAAAAACTGCTTCTTGAACTGGATTTGTTTGGTGGAATTATTATTGAGAAAACATCAGAATAATTTTCTTCACTGTGTTTTATACTTTGCACACAACTACTCAAGAACTGATGAAAAATAACCAGTTTTCCTCTCAACCTCTTGCTGGAGTCGTTGATCAAAATTAGTGAAAGAGATGTTTCCCTAAAGTAACCTGGACTTCAAGGGAGAAACATCCAATTTTTTGACTTATAGTCTTCCCTCCACTTACATATCAACAAAATAACAACGTCAACATTAACAATGATAAATAGATTCTAAATAAACAACACTAAAATTAAAGTGAAAATTCTTCCAGCTATCCTTGACTCAAATGTCTTTAGTTACACAAGTCCTGCCATATCCTCAGAGGGCTTCAGGTAGATATACTCTTCTATTATCCTAATATATTTCCTTCTGAATTTTTAGAAATTCTATGGGAGGGAGTGTTTGCATAAATAAGAAGTTGGTACTATCTGGAGACACAGAGAAGAACATTACCTGACTCCTCTCAAAACACAGATACACCCACAAATACGCACACATACGCAAGTATTAGTAGCCTCTGCAGTGGCTACCATCTGATCAAAACATTCTGCGTTTTGAAATAACAGTGAGTATTTTGAAATAGGAGTGGGTATTCTGACACATTTAATAATGCCTGGCATTTGAACATTCTTGACATATATTTAAATATCAATTTATTTCTTAACACCCACTAGTTTTTTGACTACACATGTCAAATTATTAAAATCATATACATGTCTTGATGCTGCTATATACAATTCAGATTAAAGGACGCAAAGAATGGTTGACTGAAATTCAGAAGATAATGTCATCAAAATTAAAGTATTTTGTGCTTCAAAGGACACCATCAAAAAAGTAAAAAACAACGCACAAACTGGGAGAAAAATGTTTGCCAATTACATATCCAATAAGGCATTTGTATTTAGAATATATAAACACTTATAAGTCTATAATAAGAAGACAAACAATCCAAATTAAAAATGGACAAGGCGTTTGAATAGATATTTTGCTAAAAAAGTTCAATTAACACATGAAAAAATGAGCATGATTAGTCATTAAAGAAATGCAAATCAAAACCACAATTATATACCACTACATACTCACTAGAATGGGTAAAATCCAAATGGCAGATAATAATAAGTGTTGCCAAAAATGTGAGAAAAAATGACAACGATTTGAGAGAATTGGGAATGTCGAAACATTGCTTGTGAAAATAAAAAATGGTATAGTCACTTTGGAAAGCATTTTGGCAGTTCATAAAAAATTAAATGGAGAGTTACCAATATTACTGAACACATTGTAGATTTATATCAAGAAAAATGGAAACATGTATCCGCACAAAGACTTGTACACAAATGTTTATGGCAGCATTATTCGTAATAGAAAAAACTGGAGACAACCAGAAATCCATCAATTGATGAAGAAATAAACAGAATGTGAAATATCCATAAAATTGAATACTAATTGATAACAACCAGAAACAAAGTACCAATACATGCTACAACATGGATGAACCTCAAAACATTATGCAGAGTGAAATAAGAGAGACACAAAAGACCATATATTGCACAATTCTATTTATATGAAAGGTGTGGAATAGACAAATCTATAAAAACAGAGTAGATAAGTGTTACACAGGCACAGGATTTCATTTGGGGATGATGAAATGCTCTAAAATTAGATTTTGGTGATAATTTAAAAAGTCCCTAAGTGTACTAAAAATCATGAAGTTGTTCACTTTATGGTATGTTAATTATATCTCAATAAAGCTGTTAGAAAATTCAGAAGATAGAATATGCCATGTTTATATAATAATCAATCCTTACTGTGTTTATTCTAATAACTTTTTAATTTATTGAATTTCTTTATTGTCATTGATTACACCTGGATTTTAAATGGCAGGAATTTTTATTATCACGTTTTGTTTATTTGCATTTTCCATCTTTTGCTTTCCCTAAAGAAAGAGGTTACTATTAGTATTGCCTTCAAAAACTTACCGTCCACGTGACCTGAACAGTGGTGGGAGTCAGTACAACTGGATTATGAAGACGGACAAGGACATCTCCAAGTTCTTTCTGCACTTGCCTGTGGTCCACTCCTTGTGCTGGTGGGCTGATATCTGCAGTTAGATAAGAGAGTCACTCCCAGGTTTTAAAAATTCATATTAAAATTACAATTTATTTTATATTAGTCAATATTATGCCTTTAGAACTAATTACAGGGAAAAAAAACTGAAACCCTTTTGTGACAAAAAGCATTTAAGCCTACATAGATAAATACACCATAGCGGTAGAACATAATGAGAGATGATATTTATCTTTACTAAAAACATATTGATAAAAGAGTATTTATAATCCCTCATCCCCATTAAACTGCAGACACACTGTCGTATAAGATCATTTATTTTCTTATTGAAGGACAAAGTATAAGAAGTCTAGACAATCTAGAAAGATCTCTAGAAAGATAAGCTTTGTATTCAAAGATTTTCTGGATTTGTAAATTGGAATATATCTAAACACTGCTGCTAAGGAACTTGTTAATCTTTTGTCTCAATTTGCAGGTTGTATTTTCTCACTCCTTGACCTACTTCAGTCTGGGAGCATGGATGGAGAAACGATGGTGGAATAGGGAAGTGAATTCTGTCATTGGAATAGGGAAGTAGAGTTGGGGAGAGAGGGGAAGCAGCTCTTCAAATTTGCAAAGATACTTTTGGAAGAAATATTTATAATACTGATAACATGTTCTAAAGCAATACATTTTGAGCAATACTCTAATATCTGACATGAGGTCAAGCATCACTTTTTTGGAATGGGGTGTGGAGAGAAGGGAAGAAAGAAAGGTGATTTTTAAAATATTATACCCATAGTCACATATTGTTATGCCACCTTAGTCATCAGTCTCCTAAGTACTGCTCTATTTCTCCATATGATGGTTTATATTCTGTGTCCATTAAGAAAAAAGGATAAATTAAAGGCTGTGTCCATTAAGACAAAAAATGATAAATTATAGGCAGCTAAGTCCATCCAATTTATATTAAACATTGAAGTTTACACATACTCAAATTAATTTTTTAAACTGGTACACAAGGTTGTTGAATTGTTTTTCTCCAATTACTGTAATTGAGAAAAGAAGTCCAATTTAAAATTATTTATTTTCTTAATTCTGTTTTCTCTTATTATCTCAGGCTACAATGCAGCACTCTTGAAAAAGTATTTAAAAAAATTTCTCAGCTATCACTTAAATTGGGTACAATAACTTAAATTGGGTCATAAATAACTGAGATGATACTTAGGTAATTTTTTACCAATTCTACCTTTTTTCATTTTTAACATAAACAGTAAAATGAAATTTTACTTGATTTGGAAAAAAGTCCCTGTATGTGAATAATATTAATCTATGCCTATATAGGTATGTTCCGTTTTGCTGTTGATAATGCAAGCATTCATTCCTTTAATGAAATAAAAGATTTCTAGATTCTCTGTTATTTAATACCTTTGAAAAAAAGAGCTCACAAAGCAAAGTGTTATTTGAAAAGAAATGCTTTGCAGATTGCAAAGCTGCTGAAAGTGTGCTATCCAAAAATAATCCTGACATTCAGACACAAAACAGGAGTTTTCCTATTAAATATTTGTTAAGAGCACATAAGTCTTTTGCTCTATCTAGAACAAACGAGACCACAAACAACTTTTCATTAATCTTTCTTGATCTTTTCACTGAGAGTTATTTTATAAGTCAAGATTTAATGACTGGCATAGTTGTTGAATGATAGAAAAGGTCTGCCAGACACAATCACACTAAATATCTTCCCATTCTGATCTCTCTCTAGCTTTCATTGGCTACACACAAAAACTATTTCTATCCACATAGGTATAAATGATCTCGGTACCATAATTTCTTAACTTAAAATTGTACACTTCTTCCATTTTATGTTCAATAATATAATTTACGCACTTAATTCAAACACAGTAAAAAGCTACCTATCTAGGCAAAGTAAAATATAACTAGTTTCAGATCTTCGAATTCCTTGTTGTGCTTTTTCTTTCTCAAAAGACAGGTTCTTTACCTACAGGCCCTTTATCATCATGGAAAATTAATCACATTACTGCTTAGAGAACAATAGCAAAATGGCATTCCTCCTCCCTTGACTGTCATCATGTCAGCAATGTTACAAAGTCACGTGGTGACTTTATTTCACTCGATTTCTTTAAGGCGCTCTTCTCTGTTATAATAGCATGCTAGTTACTATCACTGAACTACATTGTAATTATAATAATATTTTATGGCTGTATGGTGCTTTTCATTGCATAAAAATACTACTTTGAATTATATCTTGCTCAAAGTCTTTTACAAATAAGAAATAATTAACCCTTTCTGAAGAACCCTGTGGGAAGTAGGTTATAACAAATAATAAAATTACCATTTCTATTTTATTAATTTCCTTCACCTACTTGTCAGAAGGGAAACTATAAGGTAGCATTGCACATTAAAGCTGAGACTCCAGTGACTTCTCAGTTTGAAGAGACAAGTAATAAAGTTGAAATTATGTAATCTTCCATTTTGAAAATATATTTTAATATTCTGTGTGTATTTTACATTATAGTCAAAAGAATTGTGTTCTTTAGAAAGAAAACTTGATTTTCTGCTTTCTGTTATAAATTGCTCCTTTAAATATCAGATTTAATGAAATTCATTGTAGCAGTGGTTGTAAAACTTATACATCAGCATCACAAAGTGGGATTAACACAAGCACTGAACCCCAACCTCAGACCATTGAGTTTGAGCCTGAAAATCTATATTTCTGATAGTTCTAGGCTATGCAAATGCTGCTAACCCAGAAACCATACTCAGAACCACTGCATCATAATAACAGAATTCTTGAACAATAGGAAATCACTTTTCTAACTCTATTTGGGCATCTATTCATTAAAGACCACTTTTCTGTTGTTGTATAATTAAATTTCAAGAAGGAGAAATATTTTCCTTCCTTTGAAATACAGTGAAGCTCTAATTTGGTAGATTCATTCTGTGTAGAAGTACCCAATTATTTTGTTTATTTTTTGCTGAATACACCCTGAAAACTCCAGAAAGAGGACACATCTCACCAAGGTAAACAGCAAGCTACCTTCTCCTTCCCTGGATAAAGCCTATTGAACCATCATAAAAAGCAATGCAGGCACATTTACATTTCCTCATCAATCTCCTTATTCTTAAATATCTGATGTTTCTTCTGAGAACCAGTCATGTTGACAGCTGTTGAAATTACCTTGTGTGCGCACAGGATCTGACATGGGGCTTGGGTCACTGAGACCTTGGGGGTTGATCGCTCTGACCATGAATAAGTAGATTGTATTGGGCCGCAGTCCTCTTACAGTATAGAGGGTGGTCTTTACATGGTTTGCCACAGTCTGCCAGCTATTGCTCACCGATTGGCTGAAACACCAACAGAAATTTCATTTAAAGAACAGTCATTTGAATGCTGGAAATGGAGTTGGATATCAAAGACAAAGGTTAATGGCTGAAAATTAAACACACACACACACAAAACACTTGAAGTGTTCAGCCCAATAAATGAAACATTTGGATGATTTCAGTTTATTCAACAACAAAGCCGAGCCCACCTAACGAAAGTGCCATGCACAACACAATTAAACTCAGCCCAGGAGATGTGACAGCCCTTTGCTAATGCACAGCAGCCCACTAAATGAATACCTGTAAAAGGAACAGAGGCCAAGATCACAACATCAAGTTTATACAATAAGTATGGTCCTTGTAAATGTATATATATTTATATATACCTTGAAAAGAATAAACCTGTAGAAAGAATAAATGGACTACAGAGTAAGTTATGCCAATACATTTTCCTGTTACAAGGTGTGTTTTCTTTTGCATCAATTCCGCATGCAATATTATAATAGAGCCTTCTAAAACTACATATCTGTAAAAGAAGAAAGGAAGCATGTAATGAATATTTTCCCTTGGTTACATTTTTAACAAAATTGTACATTACACAGTATTGTCATTTCTCATCTCAGAATGGCGAAATATCTCTGAGTCTGTGTGTGAGGACCCTTTTATAGCCAGCCACAGACGGATGCCATTTTTAGAACAGTTTGTCTAAGGTCAAATGTTACTTTTGCTCAGAAGAAGGGGAAAATGTAATTTTCAGGGCAGTCAGTTTATTTTTCTGATATCCTTAACTATCCAAGCATAAGAATTATAGAAACATATTATTTTTAAATTTGAAAGTTAAGTATCTAGCATTACCTTAAGAAATGATTAGAGAAGACTTAAAAGAAAGTGATCATTTGTCCTAATGTTTAAAAAGAACAGTGGTTATCCATTACAATTTATAATGCCACATAAAAGCACCTTTGAAAGGAAATATGAAAACACATTTTACTATTTGTGTAAACACATTGTCAAATTCTCATAGGACAATTTTGTGATGATATTTCTAATTTACATTTATATATTTAAATTTGCAACAATTACTTCAAATAACACATGAAAACGCCTTTTCCATTAAGCAACTAGAAGTACATGGAATAAATTGCTTAATTATTGTTGTTAATTGTCTTTCAGGCATATCTAACATATGTATATAATATATGGTATAAAAACAATGGGAATATTTTAGGTTATGCTCTAATTATTAGGAATAAAAATGCCAGAGTCCCCTGCCTCAATAAATGTTGCATAATTTCAAGACGTCCCTGTGCCTACACCTAATAAAATTATTTTCTACCCAGTTTTAATGCCTAAATTCTCAAATTAAATGCCTACAATGGCCTGGCTAAAAAATGAAGCTAAGTCATTGTGTTATGAATTGGATCCCTATAGACCTAGGCATGAATAATGCATATTTAAATCTTATAATTAAGTTATAAACTAAGAAAAATTAAGTATGTTCTTAAATAAAGTCAGATAAAAGAGATCAGTTCTTAAAATGCATTGATTGAACTTGTCTTTAATAAAAGTGCAGGATAGTTCAGGCGATATTTCAGAATACAGGAGCTAATGCAAAAACCCAATGGAGAAAAATGGAATTGTCCCATACCTGAAAGCCTCAATGATATATGCACTTGCTGGAAGGGTTCCAGGGGTACCTGGTTGCCAGGACAAGGTGACAGTGTTCTTAGTAACATCAGTGACCTGTGGTTTGGATGGTGGCCCTGGCAGGTCACTTAAATCATAATTTTTACTGATTGTTGCTCCAGATTCTATAGAGAACAGACAGAAAAAACTTCATTTCTGATTGCGTAAGTTGACAATACTGCCTTAAGAAGGAAGCAATCTACTAAAAGACTTGACCTAGACAGTGAGAAATTCATCTCCATGAATTGTAAGTATGTAAGTGAATATTTGCTTCTCCTACATGTTAATAAAACTAAGCTGCACTTTTACACATGATCACTAGAATTCCTTACATTTCAGAGGAAATAAAATAACAAGGTTATCAAGGACAAGCATATTAAATTCCACAAATGCAATGCTAGGTGCAAACTCATGCATGAATTAAAAAGTGGCAACGAACGTAAAGACTTAAATTAACATTCAATGAATTAAACTTTAATCTCCTGTTAACTTATTATTTGATATTGAGCTATCACTAAAAGAGGCTCAAGATTTCTGCTAATTTACCAAGTCCTCACCTGTCACATCCAGCACTGCACTCCAGGAAGTCTCTCCACTTGAACTTGTAGCCACACAAGTATAAGTGCCAGTATCAGAAATCTGGTGTGCATAAAAGGGAGAGAATTAAACTGTTTCAATCAATTTGTAGAATAATCACTTAATGACAACCAGGCAATGTTTAATTTCTTAAAGTTAGATGTATCATTTTGCTGTCCAAATTATGCATTAGAGTTAATTATATGCACACGTAATATATTGAAATAAACTCATATAATATTATTCATAACTGATCCAAACGGCTTTTAAAATCATATTTGTGCAACTCAATTGTTATTCATCTGATAAACTATGTGCCCCTCTCTTTTTCTTGCTCCATGGTAATACTCTTGCCTCTTAACCCCATTTTATGGTGGGGCTGTCTTACATTACCTGGTTGAATGAGCTGAATATACTTACAGGTAGAGGACAGGTGGCCTCCACAATAACACCCTTCTGGTATTTGTATCTTGTGTAATCTTTATTTATTCTGTCTCAAATAAACTATGTTCCAATGAATAAAATGTACCCAAGAAAATAAGCAATAAGGGGACCACACTTTTCTTTTCAAAGACACGGAAAAAAGTAAAGAAGAAAGAGAAATGTTTTTAAGGTAAATTTCATCTTTTAAAAATTTCAGAATTCACTTGTATGTAAATTACAGTAGTGGAACAATGAATAATATAAAGTATCATTTGAAAAAAACATGGCTATGGAGTGACCGTAGTTTCAAGCTGAAAGGGACCATGAAAATGTCCAACTTTTTTTTTGAGCACAATTGAAATTTGTCATTTCATTGATCACTTCAAATGGTTTTGTTATTCACAGAAGAGTGGCAAAAGACTTAAGAAAAACTTCATAATGTAATCAAGAATCCTCTTTTACAAATGCAAAAAGCAGAAGATTTTGTGATTATATTTTGAAAAAAGCCCCAAGATCAATAAAAGTGGGAACTCAAATTCTTTCTGTGATCAGGCCTTGTGGGCTTACACTGCAAACAACATTTACTCTCATCAATTTAGCGGTGAAGGAAAAGTCACGCTGGGAAGAGAAACCGATGACCAAACAAAATAAGACAAGGCACAAGATGTAGAATTAATATTCTGCGATGAACACCAGTCTAATTGTTGATGAACTATAGTAGTCCACTGAATATATCTGCTGGGTTCAAACTGTAAGTGTATTGATGACTCAAGCTTTCTTGATTGATTCTCAGGTAAATCATTAGTGCCTGGATGTTACTGCCATTTCACTACCTTAATCGATTTTAAATGTCGTTATGTATTTTAACTTAAGTTTCAGATTGCTCTGGCATGACATTCTTTGCCATATTATCTCTGTACAACTGTCTTCTATTACACAGAGGGATGACGGGGATAGCCATTGTAGAAAGAGCCATTTTTTCAAATGTGGCTGTGCACACATTACAGTCATTAGAAATCCTTGCATTTAAGAAGCATCACTCACAAACTAAATATAATGAGCCGAGGCTGGATCTTAATGGGATGTTCATTTGAATATGGTCTGTGAAAGAGTAAAATAATTTGCATTTTATTATGGCTGTTGAACTAAAATGTAGCACTTGTTATTACTTGCAAATGCTAAAAGAAAAGTATGTAGGTAATGCTTCTTAACTGCATCTCCTTGTCATTGTGTAGAGATACAAGTATGACATTAGCTGTGGTAGGTATGTTTTAATGAGTGCTGGAATATTCTACTTCTCAAAAGATAAAGATTCAGTTACCAATTAGCTGGCCTAGAAGAACACAGTATTCATCATGTTATTATTTTTTTTTTTTACCTTGCATTAAGTACTTTAAAAAAATAGTGAGACACAAAGAAATACAACCTGTGGAAACTCTCTTGACTGTGTGAGTGACCTCCTGTAAAGCCCATTTTTCTCTCCCTTTAAAGACAGTCATGTTCCAGGAAAAGAACGTTTTCATTTTGGAGTTTCTCAAAAACCTAAATTTCATTGCTAAAACTCAGCCTTGTATGACCATCATCACCGCATTTTAGTCCTTTACTTTTAAATATGTCTTTTCTGGTCAGGAGTGCTTCTCATTTTTTCCATCCTTGTCCTTTTACCATTAATAAATTGCTTTAAAAAGAGATTAATGTGTAGGCAAACTCCATCACCTACTTTTCTCCTTGTACACTTGGCTGCAGACAAGCCCCCAGGAGCTGGCATCTCAGAGAGACTGCTCAGAACCCTGTCAGAGGGCTCAAAGTTTGTTTGACATCATCAAGCACCCACCTTTAATTGCCTCTTTCAAACACTACTAGAAATCTTGACTACTCAAGCATACCCTTTAATTCAGTGATACAGTGAAAATGCATTAACCTCCATGGCCCAAGTCTGCCTTTAGCCCAGAGATAGAGGTTAAAGTGTTTACACAAAGAGAGTTGGCATTAATTTTTTAATAACTTCCATTTTCTTCAAAGGAGGTTAACAATTAATTTACAATAAATAAAAAGACAGGCTCAAAATATCTGTATTAATTCACTTTTCTTTTAACTTAATTTGGCCATATTTTTTTCTACTTCAAGGAATAATTAATGCCTGCTTCTCAAAAATTAAAGACAAATATTATACATACAAATTAAAAACTTATGTGTTCTTGTGTGCACATAGCAAAAACAGTCACTTTGTTTTGTCATATATATCTGTATGATATAGTGATAATCACATAAACCTATAATTGTAAATATATTCCCATCATAAGAGAAGAATATGCCAAATTGTTATCATTTGGAAATAAGTGTAGTTAAAAATGTTTGCCTTTCTTTTTAGCTCCAGAATGGGAAAATTCTAAAAAAATAGTTTTCTTCATCTTGTCTCTGAATTTCTACCTGGACATAAGATTCTACTAATTGCTCCTCCACTGAATTTTTCTTCATGCACTATTACATCATCTACCTTAGCTCTGAGTCTCATCCTCAATATTGTGATTACTAAAATATACTTTCCAGCTTTAGTATAGCACTTGCTACGCAGTAGGTAGGAGGCCAAGACTTACAATACCTGGTTGAATGAGTTGAATATACTTATTGGTAGAGGACAGGTGGCCTCCACAATAACACCCTTCTGGTATTTATATTTTGTGTAATCTTTCACCTGGAGTGTAAGTGGAAACTGCTGGTTTTCTTTTGGCCAATGTAACATTGCAAAAATGTCAGTATGTCAGGTTTGTGATTTGTTACATATAACTGGAGTGTCCACCTTGCTGGGCGACTCCCTTCCTTGCTGACTTGGAGAAGGCAGGTAGTGATACAGGGAAGATCCAGATGGCAAGGGACTAGAGGCAACCTCCTGCCAACAGCCATCAAGAAGGTGAGGCTGTTGGTCCAGTAGCCACAAGGAACTGAATGCTACCAAGAATAATGTTGTTGGTAAGCAATCCATCCTGTGTCAATCTTCATATGAGATGGCAACTCTAAATGACACCTAACTGTAGGCTTGTAAGACCCTGAAGCAAAAGACCCAGCCAAGTCATGTCTAGGCTCCTAACTCACAGAATGAGTGATATAATAAATGTGTGTTGCATTTAACCACTGTATTTTTGTTAATAGTGTTACATAATAATAGATAGCTGATACAATACTCAGAAGTAGACATCTTATTTTGAGTTGCTCCTGAAGCAGGACTGGCTTATTAAGTTGTCAGGAATGCTCATTCTTTATCATGTAAATGTTAGTAAAAAACCATCAATGCCTTGTTCTTTCTGTGGGTTTATGTCCAAACTACACGGCAACTTAACCTAAACGCTAAAGTTTTCCGCTAACGAGGCAAACTTGCCTGTCATGTACTCAGTCTCATCTCTTTGTTTTTCTTCTACTCACTTCTTTGGCCAAGCCACTTTAACTACATTTCCTTACAATGTTCTTTGGTTAGTGAAAGTAAATCAGAAGTGTTTGTCACTTCTGAAAATACGTAAAAACATTAACTGTTTTTAAATGTACAGCAATTATACTAGGATATAAGATTTTAATTTCACAACATAATTTTTCCATAGAGCAGCTCTTATATGTAGATGATGATTCAAGTGCAAGTCCAATATTACTTACCCGTAAATTCTTAATCTGCAGTGTGCCTTGCTCTTGTATAGTTGCTCTTGGATCTCTACCCAGAAAAGTAAATCCCTCCTTTAGCCAGCTAATTACAGGAAGAGGATCACCAGTGGCTTTACATTTCAGTAATGCTGTACCATCCACTGCCAGCGTTTGGTTGGCTGGGCCTTGTAGAATTATAGGTGGAGGTCTATCTGTCAAAACTAAAGAATAAAGCTATTTTCAGGGTATTTTAACTTCAATGAAGTCCAGTAGTCTTGATATACTGACATTGAAATTACGGCGAAATCCCAACACAATATGTATGACTCATAACTTATTCTAAGTAATATGTATATTCTTAGTAACATATATTCTAAATCTATCATACCTCTATCATCTATGCATTCATACAAATATAGTATACTACGGCCATACTATTTTTGTCAATAACTTCCTCTGTGTTACCTATAGTTAAAATGATATTGAGATCTTTATTAGAGTTCACAGTTTGGGGGAATAAAACATTAAAAGTAAGCAGTCTTTTCAGAACCTATCATGAGAAAGCCAACCACATTTAACTGAAGCTAGAATTTATGGTACAGGGTCCCTTCATATCAAAACATTGCAGATTCTAAACCTGCTTTATTCATGATAAAACTCAAGAAAAACAGTAAAAATTGTTTATTGTTCAAAAACAAAAATTAGAATCATTTATTTTACAGCTTTTTTCATCAAAGGTGAGGCTTTATTTACTTTCAATACTAAATAAAATATTTTAAGAAAATATTGAAGTAGAATATTTTAATAATTCTGGCACATCTGGCAGTAATTAGGCAAATAGAAATTCAAACTGAAAGTTTCATGGTACTTATCCTTCTGGGTCAGAAAGAGAAGACCAATAAACAAAACATTATAATTTTTAATGCAGTGAGAAAGTGAGTCTGTATTATAAGAGTAGAGCATACTAATTAAATTTTAAATGATTTTTTTCAAATTAAATACCCACACAGAATTCAGGTAACTTCTTATAACCTGCTTTTATTGTCGTATCCATGAAATCACTAGATGCAGCCAAAGGTCATCTAATTAGTTTTCTTCTTTCCTTTTTTTACTGACCAAATAAGTAGCTCATCACCTTTTGAATGAATCTGATCAATAAAATAATCGAAAATCTCCTGGCCAGACATAATTTTCAGTTTCAAGGATGTTATGGGTGAAAGATGACCACAGGTTTCCATGACACTAAGGTCAAAGGTTAAATGAACATTTAGGGATTCCAGTGATCCATGAACAACTCCATGGTTTTCTCTCACTATGTATTATAAATCCTCAATAAACCATTCATATAAGATCATAATGTGACATTTATTGTCAGGACAAGATATAAATATATCTTATCTCCCAGTCTTTTTAATTTCTATTGGCTCTATTCACAGAATGCTGATTACAATTTCCTAATTCTCTGAGAGAAAAAGAGAGAGCAAAAGAAAAGAAGAAATAAAGAACAATGGCAGTGAACTAATGCGGAGGTCTTCTAACGAAATGTCTTGAAACTCAAGTATATTGAAACATATTAGCTTAATCTATGATCAGTAAAATTGTTCCTCAACATAGCACTATTCATCATTAGCAATTTCATCTTTTCTGAATCCTTGAATTATAAATATTTCCAGAAAGTGAGTCTATATAAAAATGTGACAGCAGATACACTGATATAAATGGAATACAGGAATATCTCAGGGGTATTGTAGGTTTGGTTCTAGACCACAACAATAAAGCAAATACTGCAATAATGAAGGTCACACAGATTTTGCTTCCCAGTGCATTTAAGAGTTATGTTTACGCTATGCTGGAGTTTATTCAGAGTAGAATAATACTATGTCTATAAAAAAAAATGTTCATACCTTAAAAATACTTTATTGCTAAAAAATGCTAACGATCATTTGAGCCTAGAGTGGTAATATTTTTGGTGATGGAGGATCTTGCCTCAATGTTGACAGTTGCTAACTGACCAGGGTAGTGGTTGTTGAAGTTTGGGGTAGTTGCGCCAATTTCTTAAAATAAGACAATAAAGCTTACCATATTCATTCACTATTCCTTTCATGAAAGATTTTTCAGTAGCATGCAATGCTGTGTGATAGTATTTTATCCACAGTAAAATATCCTTCAAAATTGGAGTCAACTCTCTCAAACTTTGATGTTGCTTTATCAATTAAGTTTACATGATACTTTGAATCCTTTGTTGTCACTTCCACAAGCTTAAACAGAAGTGGATTCCATCTCAAGTCATCACATTCTTTGCTTGTCCATAAGAAGCAACTTTTCACTTGTTCAACTTGTATCATGTGACTGTAGCAATTTAGTCACATCTACAGGTTCCACTTCTAATTCTAGTTCTTTTGCTATTTCTACCACACATGCAGTTACTTCCTCCACTGAAGTCTTGAACCCCTCAAAGTCATCCAACATTACAAACTCCTGGTAATGTTGATGTTTTGGCCTGATCCCATAAATCAGAAATGTTCTTCATGGCGTCTATGATGGTAAATCCTTTCCAGAAGGTTTTTAATTAACCTTGCCTAAATCCTTCAGTTGAATTATTGTCTTTGACAGCTATAGCCTTGAAAACATATTTCTTGAATAAGACTTGAAAGTTGAAATTATTCTTTGATCCATAAGCTTCTGAATAGATGTTGTGTTAACAGATATAAAGACATTAATCTCTTTGTACATCTCTATCAGAGCTTTTGGGTGACAAGGTTCATCATGGATGAGAAGTAATGTTTCAAAAGGAATTTTTTTTTTCTGAAGAGCGGATCTCAACAGTGTACTGAAAATATTCAGTAAACCATTCTGTAAACAGATGTGCTGCTGTCATTTAGGCTTTGTTTTTCCATTTATAGAGCACAGGCAGAGTAGACTTGGAATAATTCTTAAGGGTCATAAAATTTTCAAAATAATAAATGAGCATTAGCTTAATCCTAAAGTCACCGGCTGCATTAGTTACTTACAGGAGACTTAGCCTGTCATTTGAAGCCAGGCATTGACTTCTCTTCTTCAGCTATGAAAGTCCTACATGACATCTTCTTTCAATATATGGCTGCTTTGTCTGCATTGAAAATCTGTTTAGTGTAGCCAATTTCATTAATGTGCTTCTGAATAACTACATGAAGCTCAAAATCAGCTCTTGATGCTTCACCTTGTACTTTTTGTTACAAAGATGGCTTTTTTCCTTAAATCCCATCAACCAACCCCTGCTAGCCTCATTTTTTTCTTCTACAGCTTCCTCACCTCTCTCAGCCTTCACATAACTGAAGAGTTAGGGCCTTGCTCTGGACTGGCTTTGGCTTGAGGGAATGTGGTGACTCACTGACCTACCCAGACACTAAAACTTTCTTCTTATCAGCGATAGGCTGTTTGACTTTCTTATCGTTTTCGTGTTCACTGGAGTAGCACTTTTGGTTTCCTTCAAAAACTTTTCCTTTGCATGCATAACTTTGCTAACTGTTTAGCACAAGAGGCCTAGTTTTTGGCCTTTTTCGGTTTTTGACATGCCTTCCTCACTAAACTTAAGCCTTTGCAGCTTTTAATTTAAAGTGAGAGACATCTGACTTTTTGCTTGAACACCTGGAGGCCATTGTAGAGATACTGATTGGTCTAATTCCAAAACTTCTGTGTCTCAAGGAATGGGGAGGTTCAGGGAGTGAGAGACAGACAGGGAGTTGCCAGTGGGCAAAGAAGTCAGAGCACACACATGTATCAATCAGATTTGCCATCTTATATAGGCACAGTTTGTAGTAACCCCCCAAAATTATAGTAATTTCAAAGATCACTGATCATAGACCACCATAACAGATGTAATAATAATGAAATTGTTTGAAATATTGTGAGAATTACCAAAATGTGACACGGAGACACAAAGTGAGCACATGACATTAGTAAAATGGCACCAATAGACTTGCTTGACCCAGGGTGGCCATAAACCTTCAATTTGTAAAAAACTTGGTATCTGCAAAGTACAATAAAACAAGGTATGCATGTAATCATTTGTTTCTCTGAACATGACATACGTTTTCATTCCACCATGGAATTTCAAATGGCTCTAAAATTCCCTGAATGATTATAAAAATAAATGTGTTTAAAATGAAAATAATGGCTCAGATAATATTAAATTATTAACCAATATGAAAAATCAAAACTATGAATAGAAGCTTAAGGCATGAGCCAATGTGGCAACTTCAGTTTTAGAGACAGATTCATTTATAAAATGTGTGTAGATATTTAGTTCTTATAGTTATTTCTCTACTCTTAACATCAACAACACTGTAACTTCCAATCGATGTGTCTGCAAAAGGATCTTGACTTTGTAATTGCTTACTCAAGTAAAAATCAATATAGGAATTAATGTCCAAGCCAGTTGTAACAAGATGGCCAGAGCCATCTCAGTTGGTAGAAGATTTAAAGTTGGTTATCCCTTATTTTTGACCAGAAAGAAATCTAGAATAACCACTGATTTGTGAGATATCATGAACTAGTGTAAGGTCTCAAAGGTTTTCCACTTATTATATCAGATGTAATTCTGAATAGCCACCTGTTTTATGAACCATATAAGTCACATCAACTGGCTCTTTTAGTTCATCAGTTTTGCTTTCTACAAATATGGTTTGCCTTTTCCATAACAATTTCCTCACTTAGAAACATTTGAGAGTCAATCTTCCAAAAAATATTGTAAGTAGCTAAATGAGAGCCAATATCATAAGCATTATGTTTGGAGTGTTCTTAGGAATAGAATAAAATGTAGGCTTTGACCAAAATATCTTATTTTTCAAGTGTGTGTATCTGGACATTTTTGCTGACAGGTGAAACCATAAGATCTTTAAAATGATTAATAATTACCTTTTATTCTTTTAAAGAAATATAGAGGTACAGAGAATCGAAGACCTTGCCCATCTAAAGAAGAATTTCTCATCACTGCTACCCTTGAACCTGACTTCTCCCTTTAGTTTCATAGCAGTAAATCTCTGCAGCAACATCAGGTGCAGCCCTTAACGACTCAATGTCCCTGCAGCCAATGTTTGTCTGTTCTATTTATTCCCATTCCTGACATGTCACTGAATCAGGCCATACCATGAACAGATATTAAAAAATACTGCCTTTCTATTAATTTTAAATGACCTTTTAATCTACATGTAAATTTGAATTGTATGAAAGCACATCAAATTTCACCAGCAGATAAAGAAGGGGATCAAGAGAGGCCACAGACCATAGCACTTATATCTCAGAAGCCAGCATTAGGGGAGAAAACAAAAATAAAAATCCTCACAAATAGAGGAGAGTAAGAAAGAATTTTCAATTTAAGACATCAAAGAATAGGGATTAAATTCACGCTCAGAGGTTCATGAAATAACTCAAACTCGCTAGCTGTCAATTGTGACAAATAAGCTGCTGGGGAAAACATCAGATTATGCAGAATCCTTCATCCTTTTCAACTCTCACTATGAATGTAGGTGCTTCAGTTAAGATTCAAAGTGCATATGTGCAAACAAAAATAATAATTTTAGCATTCTTCAGCACTTTGAAAGGTAGTTAATTTAACTTAGTGAGTGAAGAATTAAAGTCATCGGAATGTCCTCATGCAATTAGCTAACTGAAAACTCATCTCTGATAATATTAAGAGTGGTATCACCTCCTCCTAGAGGAAAACAAAATTATTAATGTCTAGTAGAACGAATCGTGTCAGCATAAAATCTAAATAAAGATATAGAGATTATATTTTAATATGCAGTGAGTGTAATCACATTTATTTAAAATAATGCACCATTCTATTTTTAAGAATTAAGAACTTTGTCTCTGAAGTTCTTCTTTAGGAAAAATAACTGGTATTCAATCAGGAAGAATTAGAAACTACTAAGAAAATATGACCGGAATTCAAAGTGAAAAGATAAGCACACACAGAGATGATTTAACAAATCAGCAAGCTCCGCATGATTAAGGTGTATCTAGAAATAAAAATCGTTGTTGTCATAAGAGAAATTGAATAAAGATATCGCACCATCAGTAACCTCCAGCTGAGCTTTTGCTAAAATGCTTCCTGCCACAGTTAAGGCCTGGCAGATGTAGTAACCTGCGTCGGAACGTTGAATGTTGGTGATTGTGAGGTCTCCTGTTGGTGAAACTGAGCATCTACTGTTGGGCTGCTGGGGCTGGTTTGGGAAAAGTAGGTTCTGTGGAAGCAAACACAATCTCATCAGTATTCTTTTTACTTTAAAAAAATGTTAATAAAAGCTACTACAATTAGCGAATATAACGGGAAGAAGAAAATATATAGATTAAAAAATATATGGCACAGAAATGTTTAATGCCACACAGTGGGTTTCACTGATTGATAAACTTTTTCCAATTCATGGTGAAATAATACACTCTAAAAATTCAATATCTGCTAGCTGAAAGAATAGTCATTTCTGTTTTTAAAGAATAGGGATCTTTATCCCAGCCTGATTTTCTGCTAGTTACTTAATATCTTTGAAACTGGTTTTTTCACCTGGAGAATGGGCAAAACAGCTCTTATCTGACTCAACTACGAAGGCCTTATGAAGACCTGGCCATAACATTAATTGTGTATGGGTTCTATAAACAGCACAGCTCTGAAGAATGCAAAACATAATCGCCGTTAATCATTTGAATACTTGATGGACTCAGTTGAATTTCTACCAAAGTTGTTCAAAAGTGTGTAACAGAGAGCTGACTCTACTGCTATAAAGTTTTTGCAGCTTTGAATGGAGCTATGAACAAATGCTACATTCTAAGCAAGATTAAACAAATTACTGTAGATAAGAAGAAAATGTAGAATTTTTCTAAAAGTGTATACCTTAAACAATTTCATAGTATTACTTTCTTTTAAAAACAATATTACTTTAGTTTACTCTTTATCTCTTATTAAAAACATATCGCCTAATCATGAATTGTAAAAGTTCTGCTATGAGAGGAGTAACATTAATTTGGATGAACTATGTTGCTTTACTGTTGTTCAATTAAGAAAAACATTTGAGTATAATAAATTATGTTGAGGCATGTTTCCAAGTTGGATTATAAATAAGAAGATATCAATTTTTATGTTGTATTTACTTACAAAAAAGGACATTATAACCCTCTGGGATCTGTTTCTCCATATAGTAATTAATTTTCCAGGTTTGTAATTAAACAGTTTCAATACGTTGCAATCAGGAGGTAATAACATTCAATTAAAGGCACAGGACACATTTTCACCTTAAAATGTTTTTACCCTTGAAGTAATACCAATGGAAGAGGATAAAATAGGGTATTAACACTTTTCAATTATGCTAAATGACTTTAATCCAGCAAATGATGTCCCACTTTAATTAGAAGCTCTTCTCTTTATTGCAACATGATGGATGTCCACTTTATTAGATTCAAGTGTGACACTATAAGCCCACTTTACATAAACATTACCATGTTATTAAACTCCTTCTAAAAGAAGTGATGTTTGGTAGCATGTCAGAAATGTAATTTCAATATGCCATTGACCTCATAAATGTGTACTACTGTATAAGGCTAGACATTTTCATGCATATGAAACATAATTTGAGAATCAGCTGATTCTACTGTAGATTCCAAATGTATTACCAAAATAAAGCAGCTAAAAGAGAGAATATAAATTTTGAAGTCATTTGGAAATGATACAATAACTCAAAGTGCACGCTTTCCTACAATTAGCCATTAGAATACTAATTTACATAGCACTAATACATCAGATGGGCCTTATTCTCTATGGGATCTCTTCCTCTACGATGTACCATCAGTCCACCTTCTAAATGATTCTTTGACATGGAAAGTGGCATTATATGAAGGTTAACCCATCATCTTTATCCCCTGCTTGCATGACATAGGCAAAAGAAAATGGATTACAAGAAAAACTGGGAACTTCACAGCTCCTCCTGCCTTGGAGAGTTCCTGGGTATCCTATTAGAGCTAATTGGCATTATCAGCATATACTGAGGAATATGGACCATTAAGTCCAGGCTTTTAACTCTTCCTAGTGATGGATGGTCATAGATCACTGTAAAAACTGGATACTAGAGATAGTAAGACCGATTTATTTTTTCCCAGTATTCCAATTCATGATTTGAAAATTTATAATTTGCTCAAGCACTTATCTCTCGTTATCATGCACAGTATTTTTTTTTCTCTCTCTCCCTCTTTCTTCCACCCCATCCCTCTGTACCTCTACCTCTGTCTCTGTGATAGGAGAGAGATAGGTGAGGAAAAGAAAACTAAACATAGGATTTTGTGTAATCTTTAACATTAACGTATCTGAAATTATATGCTATTTTGTTAAATGCAAAAAAAGGGAATACTTAAATGTTGTTATTTATTTTGAAACCATTAAAAAACAATGTAGCATATTTGAATACCATGTTTATTAAACTACAAGGCCAATACACATTTTATACACTACCTTGTAATTCAACTTGGAGCTGCTTTAGGGGATGTGATTTACACGTGATACGGTCTTATCTATATACTAAAAAGGCACGTTATAATGAGGTTTCACTCTATACACGGATATCAAGCGTAAATATGCAATGATGAAATTGCTTTACATCATACTTACTATCAGTGATACAACATCTTGCTTAACCTTCTTAATGTGTAAAGCAATTTTATATGTAAACCGACAGATTCATTTAAACTTTACTTGTGTGAAGTAAAATGTATTAGCTCTGTATTTTAGATTAAGAAAATGAGCTTCAGCAAACATAAATACCACACAAAAGTTGTATAATTTATAAGGTGGAAACTGGATTTTGAATTCTCTCCTTTTTCTGTACATGTATGTATGTACATTTATATGTCGATGTGTGTATCTATGTGTGTGTATGTGTCTATGTGTGTGTCTATGTATGTGTATGTGTGTGTGTTTCTATGTGTGTGCATGTATGTGTATGTGTGTCTATGTGTATGTGTGTTGTATGTGCATGTGTGTGTCTGTGTGGTATGTCTGTGTGTGTGTCTGCCTGTCTGTCTCTGCATGTGGGTGTATATGTATATGTGTCTATGTGTGTGTGTGTCTGTGTTTAACTGTCATGTTGCCTTACACTCACTTTAGAGTCTGGGACACTAACATCTGAAAAGAATTTAAAAGCAAAGAGTCAAAGAACTCTATGTGTAGAAACCTATTTTCTAATTACTAAATTATAAAGAAGATTTGAGAGTTAAGGCCTGGAACAGCTCTGATGTGAGATAAGGCGGTGGCCATTACCTTTCCTTACATTCCCATCACTACATTTACATTCCACAAATCCCAAGAGGAGATTTGAGAAGAGTTGAGTAAAGAATAAAACAAGGAGAGTTGAGCAAAGAATAAAAGGCCATTTGTCCATCCAGACTGAGCTGTTAGACCTGCTAGCTGGGAGCTGGTACAGGAATTTATAGAAACCCACAACAATTAGAGATAACGGCTGAGCAGAACTCTGAAGGCTTCCTTGCACACATACATATTGCAGATAAACATATATAAGCTTTAATCAACAGATTCTTCAAATGCAACTTACATTTCCCATCTCTGGCCAAGGTTTTAGATTTCCAGAGATGTTTAATAATGATTTCCATTATCTCCCCCCCCCCAAATTTTTCTGGAACATGTAGTAATAACAGAAAGTGATAAGGAAGACCACCAGTAGGTCTCTTCCTCAGAATACGCCTAGTAGTGCATGTTTCTAGAAAGTTTAGAAGGAAAATACCTCCAGGTCCCGTAGGAATGCACAGATAAATTCTTAGGCATGCAACACAGTTTTTGATCTAGTTTAAGCTGGAAATTTCACTCATTGCCTATCAACCTATAGGCTAAGCACTTGTCCAAGTTTGGACCAAGTTCTAAATGAGAAAATTAGTGTAACCAGTTGACTTTTCATAGCGACTCTGAGAGTCTATGTTTCCCAGAGTGGGAGCTGGACAGGACATACCAGAGCAGAGCAAAGACAAGACAGCTACGGGTTCCTTCTAATGTACTATGTATTATTTACTGTCTAACCCCACTATGGACGAATCCAGGAAGAACAGAGAAGAAAAGATTTATCCTACTCTTAAATGGAAGCATGCTTTAATTAAGGATAAGAAAAGTCATTTATGCTGCATATCTAAGAGAGAGGATTGAAATTAATTCTGGGCCAATTAAAAAAATATTTTCCATGTCACAGAGACTGCATATGTCCTGACTTTATCATACCACTTAACTCAATGCAAGAAAACAAAAGTAGCTTTATATTCACAGATTTTAAATAGCCACAGAGGTTTTCGTTGGGTTTTCAAAGGTAATTTTGTTACACTTCGTTATTGCTATTCTATGTGAGACAGAATTTTGAAAAAATTAGTACTAGCAAATAAAGAATGCTATTACTAGAACATCTGACTCCCACTTATTTTTAAACTCATCAGTCTCTTTTTCAGAAATAAAATAAATTCAAACATTGAGAACAAGAGAAGCAAGGCAAGCTTTGAGGAGCAGCAGAGACAGGGGAAGTTCAGAGATTTCAGAAAAGCAGTGAAGCCTCACACTCACCTGGCTGCCTTCTTTCTGCCAAAAAACAGCTGGCTGTGGGTTTCCTTTAGTTTCACAGGGAAATGTCACTGTTCGACCTTGAGCAACAATCTGATCTCTTGGCCGAACCACAAACTGTGGGGGAGCTATAATTTAAAAGAAAAGAAAGTGTGTAAATATCAACCATTGACAAAGAAAAATATATCAAGGAGAAAATATAGTACTATGTTGATTGTTCAGTGCCAGAGAGAGACTACAGTTTTTATTTACCTTTATACACTTCTCTAAACACAAAAAGAAAGACATTATATTCAATCAAATGTGAGGAAAGAAGCAACTTTTTAGCAGACATATTTTAAATGTTGTACATTGTAATCCTTAGGCCTACATATACTTGCATAGGAAATTAATTTTTTTTATGATTTTAACATTTTTAAGGAAAAACATGGATGCTTAATTTGGTTCTGCTTTATAAATAAAGATAAAAAAGAATCACTCTCTCACTCGACCATCTCCTTCCTCTAAAGTCAATCTATTGACAAACATTGGTTGTTTTTGTAGTAACTACAAGAATTATATAAGGCACAGGGATACCAGAGGGTATAAAACATGATGTCTATTCTTAAAATACTTATATTCTAGCATCCAAGAGTTGAAAGATTAAAGACATTGAAGAAGAGATGGAAATTACATACAAGGATAATAAGCAATGTAAATAAATGTATTAAAATGGTTGACTCAATCTAATTTATGTCATTTAGATAGATAAACATTAGTCAGGTAATTACTATGTTCCCCTACTGAGCACTAAAGATACGGAGATGGAACGCTTTTATTCTGCAGCCATCAAGATGCTTGTAGTCTAATGGAAATGAAAAACACAATGACAATGACAAAAGTGAAAACAAAATTAAATAAACACTTATCTAAGACTACCGTAAGTGCAATGGTAGAGGTAATCTTAGAGCACAATGGAAGAGAATTTAAGTTTTTGTATATATAATAAATTTAGTAAGACTTAGGAAAAAGAAATCCCTTTGTGTCGTGAAACCTATGGAAGGCTCTGTATAGAAAATAGGCATTATGGGAGCTTTGAGGTAAATGGAAAAAGGAACACATTCCAAACAAGGAGATTACAGAGCAAAGTATAAGAAGCAAGAAAAAACTTAGGAAACAGTGTGTCATTTGGCAGGATGGAGGGTCCAAGTTATGTAAACACTTGTGTCTACAAAGCAGGGTTTAAGAAGTCAAACTGAGGATTTTATTCTGACTTTTTCTAAGCTGAAAGTGACAGATGCAAAGGATAATTTTTGGCAGCTTTTACCCTCTAATGAATGTAGCACGGATTGGAGGGAAAGGCACTTGGTCTATAAAACAAGGAGTCTGCTGGAAGTAGCAAAATGGTACAGATGAAGCTAATGAGATCAAGACGTAAGTAATTCCTTTATTATACTCCAAAATAAAGCAATAGGGGTAAAAATCCTAAGAAAGTTCAGATTTAAATGGTGGTCTAATGATAATGAGAGAGAATAAAGTGAAAGACAGTAAGTGGTGTCGTTGGAAGTTTTCACAAGGGCATCTCCCTACCAAAATGCATTTTTGTTGAGCAGAAAACACTGTGCATTCCATGGCTTTTCTAATAATTGATTTTTACTTTAACTAGCTGCTTAGGCTGGAAATCTGAGACCAAGAAAACACTTTAAAATCAACTCTAATTTTTAGGACTCAGTGATACTCTAAAGCCCTCTAACAATAAGTGATGTCTGGTAAAAACTGTCACCTGGAATCATTTCAGTCCTTCAGGAGAAAAGAAGCGTAGGTCCAAGAATGAGGTAAATGTACAGCAGCCCCAAACAGGCAACCAATTCCTCATCCTTACAAGAATGCTAGCGTAGAAAAAGCAGCAGCGTTTTTCCAAACAATTCACTGGGATTTGTATAGACTTATTTTTTATGTTCTATTATGCTGCCTCCTAGTTCAACACAACTAACACATACCCCAGGGACAAACGGGATAAATCTACTAAGTGAAATGTTCTTCTATAACTATAGATAACAGAAGACTCATTCTAGCAGTATGGAGAACCCAGATTTATGAATCTGTTTGGACAGAGCATGGTATATGTTGCCTTGTATTTTCAGAAGATTACTTGCTTTTTACAATCTTCTTGTTATTTCTATACAATTCTCCTGAATCAGCAGATACAGTGATTTTTGTTTCTAATGTTTTCTAATAAAATGATAGTTTAAATCAATGTTACAAAATTACTTTAGAAAAACTCTTAAAACACTGCAGTGACCATTTTTCAGTAGAAATGTGAAACCAGGTATTTGTACCAAAAAAAGGCTTAAGGTTTGTTTCTATCATCTGGAATACTGTAGAAAAATTATCTTTGTTATGAAAAAATTAGGAATGAGTATATGGTATCTCTTTGCAATCCTATAAAGGAAAGTAATAGTGTCAATATGGACACTTGCTAAGTGAGAGGTATTAAATAATCTACCATGTATCTAAAATTATTAAAAATTCAAAACTCAATTCAGTCAAAATCAATCATTTACAAGACTTGAATAAAAATCACCTATTTAGCTTATTAGTTAATTTATACTGCTTTTGACCAGAAAGAATTTAAATTACTTCACAAAAGTTGTTAGTAAAACCTTAGAGTCCTGGATACTCTATCTAGTCCTTCCTTGCAAATTTTAAAAATAAATGGAAATACACAGGATTGAAATTATGAAATAAAATCAATGAAATATAAACATATATTTATGTATTTTATACTTTTAAGCACATTATTCTTCATCAATCTGTCCAGTAAAATTACCAGTCTATATCAGTAAAATTACCATCTGTACTTTAGAAGTACAGACTTCCATGAATTTAATTTTAAAACTTTTGAAAATTGTTTTTGTAGATGAGTGATATCGCAAGATGCTTCTGGCATCCAGATACTACAATTTTAACCCAGCTGCTAAAACACAGTCCCCAAAATAAGGACTGGCAACTGACCACATCTATGCATCCACTTTTCTGAAAAGACACAATTCATCCATTTAGTCACTCAAAATGTATTGATCAACCAGTAATAATGATACGTTCTGCTTGGTACAGGAGATGGGAAGACAAATAAAATTGCTCTTGCCCTATGGCAGAGGCTTCCAAGTAAACATATAAATAAATATACAAATATAGCAAAATGCGATTTTTAAGTGAAAACAGAAAAAATGCAGAAGGCATTGGGGGAGAAAGAGTAGAACAGAACCAATCAGGCCACGTTGTGAGGGAAAAAAGAGAAAACGTGCCACAACATGGCTACACTAGAGCTGTACTTTGTAGGATAAGAAAGAGTTGACTAGGTGAAGAGTGGTAAGGTCACTTGGGACAAAGAGAAGCAGCACATAAGGCAGAGACCCATTGAACTGGATTTTTAAGGGTGTGTGAAAGATTCTGATAACAAAAGAAATCTTAGAGGTGATATAGATAGGGCCGGATGATCTCTGCTAAAGGAGTATCACATTTTGTCTTTATGAAGATCTGTTCAAAGACATTTTTCTAAGAAAGATGTAATCAGATTTATATTTTGGAAAGGGTGCTTTGGAAGCAGTGTAGATGCGGATTGGAGAAAGAGTAAAGTCAAAGAGCTGGGAAATGTTTGCAAGTTGGGGCAGAAAATCCAGTTGAGAATTTGTATTTATAGGAGCACCTATAGATAACATTTCATCAGGACTTTTACAGGACAAAGAAATTCTGCAAAATCACAGCATGATATTTACCACTGATGGTATAATCTAAAAAGGCCAGAAAATTCTAATTTCTAGAGCTTTTATCCAATTCTGGATTGTATGAAAGACCACTGAGAAAAAACTCTCAGCATCTATGTTATTTATCCTGTAAAATATATTTTCAAGTGATGTTTGCTTATATTGTACATGTACTCCAAGTTGTAAATGTGCTGTATTTCAAATGTATCCAATAGATTATTGTCACCAGAACTTATGCCACGTTGATCTTGCTGGAACTAAAATCGTCTTATCATGTTTTTAATTAAAAAAAATTAAAATATAGAAACATTTATCAAAGCAAAAAATTTGAAGAGTATTCAAGTCTGTGAAAATATACATCCTTTCCTACAATCACCTGAAGGTGGAACAAAGAAACGAATTGCATCAATCACTTTTACTTTTGTAGACTCTCTCTCTGCCCAAGATCTATATTGCAATCTTTTGTGAAAGGATGTCACTTGAAGGAATTTACTTTTGAGGTTTTAAATGAAAAATTGCATCAATAATTCTTCCGATAATACTCCACAGTTTCAGTATCTCTGCCAGGTGGCACTGAAAATGGTCTGAAAAGACAGTAGTTGGCTGATGGCACCAATGGGAGGGAGTAGACAGAGGCGGCGTTTTATCAACACAGCACAATAGCACCAAGTGTGCTATACATAAAATAGATTTTCTATAATGACTCCCACTAAATATAAAAAAACACACAATTAGGTCCTCAAGATGACAATTCCAAACACACATTTAAACCCAATGTGAATTAAAGAGATTGAGTCTAAGCTCCGGAAGAATATGCCTGTTATAAAAATGGCAATTCTTCTATATGTCTCTAACAAGACTATAAAATATATATTCATATTCTGTCTAAAACCTGAAAGCATTGGAAAAATATTTTGTAGCTATGATGTAATATCCTATTTGCTTAATCTGTGAGCTGATTATACCTGATTGCTTCAGCTGTAACTAGAAATGAGATGAAGCAAACAGAATGGTACAATTCAGTGTTTAATCAACACAAGTTAAAAAACAATGGCTCTATAAGAAAAGTATGTTTTATGATTTCCAGAGAAGTAGACCCAAATATAAAAAGGTCAATTAAGATTACAGGTCTGGGACAGTTCACTTGAAACAGTGTTTTGAGAATTTAAATACAATGCACAGTAAATTAGATTTGATTTCTGCTAAATTATGCTTTGATACTGCGTTCAGCCCAAGCTGGCTTCAATCAAAGTCACGCTACAGCTCTGTTATGCTAATGCCTGCTGGTGAGAGTGAGTGGGCGATATGGAAATCAGAGGGCTGAACATGAGTGGGACGCACAGGCCGTGCACGAGGTGGGGTTTGAGATGGGAGGATGAGGA